CGCTTGTTTGCCTACAAGCCTTTAAGACCCCAGACGCTATATCTTTTGATAGCCGGGCACCATCAGCTTTCTTCACCACATTTGCTTATGCACACGATCATGTCGGGAAGGTAGATATCATGAAATGACCGTTTAGCTGAGCAAGGTGCTCTTGTATTAGGGGAGTGCGCACCTTTATTCCACAATGGCTACTAGACAAGGAGGTGGCAAGTATAGGAGGGGGTACCCCCCCCTCAAAAGGGGCAATTTTTGTTTCCAAAGCTATGTACTAAAAAAATTTTTTTACACAACAAACATTATCACCTTCAAAGTACTCTCTCAACTTTTCAAATCTGCTATTCCATTCTTAGAAACATTTTTCAAACTCATCTGTTTGGATGGCTGACAGCACCACCCTAGTTTTGTTCTTCACCTCCTCTAGTTGTCAAATCACTGTCCTTTCATGTCCCTTTTCATTCGCAGAAACAAAAAGAAGTCACACAGAGCGAGGTCAGGTGAGTAAGGTGTGTGGGGCAGTAAGGCATGCTGTTTTGTGCCAAAAACTGGCACAATGAGCTGGCTGCGTGAGCAGGTACATTGTCATAGTGGCAAAACCAGTCCCTGGTCTGCCATAAATCAGGCCTTTTTTTGTCACACAGTTATTGCTATCTTTTCAGAACCTCTAAATAGAAAGTTTGATTAACAGTCTGACTTGGTGGAATGAACTCCAAATGCACTGTCCCCCTCACATAAAAACAAGAAATGAGCATTGGTTTGGGGGGGTACCCCCTCATAGATAAGAGCAGCATACCGTGAGGACATACTATCCACCATTCCCTTTGTCTCTTAACTCTTCTGTCTTCATTCACTCAAACTACTATTTGCAGGTGTAGCCTCTCTGCCTGCCTCCTAGAATATTTCATGGTACAAGAATAAAACAGGAAGTTTCAATATCTAAGCAGGTAATATACCTTATATCATTGCCTTTGATTCAATATCCTTACATATTTAACAATTTAATGCTTTGGAATACTTCTGTTTTCCAGTCTATCTTTAGCTATGATTTGGCTTACTGCCAACTGACTAAAGGTAATGTATATCTTACGAGAACTGGCAAGTTCAGCCAGGCTCAGGTAAAACATGCCCTGCAACTGTTTGAGATTACTCGTAAGTCAGCTGTATTAAGAGCATCTCCTGAAATACTCATGACGAAATGAAGATATGAAGATAAACAAGTTGAAGGTTCCTCACTCAGAGAAACCAAGCTCATTATCATGATGTTGACTGACTCATAGTGACCCTATATATAGAGTTTCTAAGACTATAAATCTTTATGGGAGCAGATAACCTTTCTCCAGCAAGTAGCTATTAGATTTGAACTTAGCAGTCCAATGTCTAACCCACAGTGCTACCTAAGCTGCTTAGAGGGTCAAAAAAGAATCAGGTTAAATATTCTATGCCACTTTAAGTCCAAAAGATGAATTAAGACTATTTTCAATTCCACAAATGTGTAGTTTTTCCATTAAAAGTTTAGTATGTGTTAATCTTGTTCATAAAAAAGAACAATAAAAAAAAAAGAACAATAAATGATTCAGGATGTTTTTTAAAAAACCTTTTGCTGTGAATTAGATCTGTTTTCCATAGAACAATTCACATGTATTTTATTTCATCTCATTGACTGCAATCTCCCTCAATGTAACATCACTTATTCCACACTCCTTCCCTGTGTCTCCTGTTTCCATTTCTCCTTCTGCCCTAAACAGTACCTTTGAGTAAAGGCAACCCCTACCTTTGATCTCCAATGGCTGATTATTTTAAGGTGTGCATATCTCACAAATACTAGTGTTCCTCTTGTAGAACTAACTAATGGTTGGCTGAAAATTGAACCTTGGGGATAAATTCATCACCAGATCTGAAGAGTGGATTAGCTTTTCTTCCACACTATCGAAAAACCTTTTACTGTTATACTTTCCAGAGCAGCTGGTAGTGCTCGCAGAACACCATCTAGTTTTTTATCCTCGGGTCATGGAGGCTGATGTTAGCATGGGTCATGCATGAGTCCATTGGAGTAATTGTTTAGTCGTACCTTACATGGTTGCTTCCATGTTTTTAAGATCCCAATCACTACTGACCAAAGTAGGATGTAGAACACTGTCTTTATGGATTATGGTTATAAGGTCCCAGGTTCAGCAACCCATTGCTTCAAGGTGTTTGGTTACACTATGTGTACATACCTCATTCATGGCTATATTTTCAACAAAGGGTAAATATCACGATACACAAATATATTTGTGGGTATAATCCTACTCTTTGCTTTTGATGAGCTATAATACAAATTTCAGTGGGAGGGTGGAAGGGAAGGGGAGGGAGAAAGGGGGAACAGATTACAAGGATCTACTTATACCCTCCTCCCTGGGGGACAGACAGTGGAGAAGTGGGTGAAGGGAGACATCGGACAGTGTAAGATATGACAAAATAATTTTTTTTTAAAGATATGACAAAATAATAATTTATAAATTATCAAGGGATCATGGGAGAGGGGGAAGCAGAGAGAAGAAAAAATGAGGAGCTGATACCAAGGGCTCAAGTAGAAAGCAAATGTTTTGAGAATGATGATGGAAACAAAAGTACTTGACACAATGGATGGATGGATGGATTGTGATAAGAGTTGTAAAAGCCCCCAATAAAATGTTTTAAAAATAAATGAAAACAAAAACAAATTTCGGGATGGCATTCCATGTGAGGAGCAACTGGATTTTAAATACAAAGTTCTCTATCTTATTAACCACTTATTATACGTAATTTTAAATACAAATAATTCTGATAGGGAAACATAAGAATAATAATAGCACTTACTGACGTACTTTTTTCTGCTTTGACTCAACAGGAAAAAAAAACTGTTTTAGGTAAAATCCTAGTCAATATAGTACAATAATATATCAATAATAGAGTACAATAGAATACAATCAATAGAGTACAATAATATATCAGGACCAAGTAGGATTCATATCAGGTATGCAAGGGTGGGTAAACATTAGAAAAATACTGTAATTCATCGCACAAATAAGACAAAGGATAAAAATACATTTTCATATCAATTGATGCAGTAAATTGTCTTTGACAAAATCCAACACTTATTCTTGATAAAAACACCTAACAAAATAGGATAGGTAACTCTATAGAGACAGTAATTAGATTAATATTTTCTTAGGGTTATGGCAGAGGAAGTTAGGGGTAATGGAGAACTAAAAATAATGGATGAAGAAAATGTTCTAGAAAAAGAAAAAACTGAACTAGATGGGAAATCCACCAACATAATAATGGACATATATACAAAACCAAAGGCCAACATCACTCTCAACACACAGAAACTTAAAAAAAAGAAAGAAAAGAAAACAAGAACCAGACAGGATGCCTTTTATCATCCGTCCTATGCAACGCTGTGCTAGAAATCTTAGCAAGAGCTATCGGACAAGAAAAAGAAATTAAAGGCATCCAAATTGGCAAAGAGGAAAAATTCTATTTGCAGATATGGTCCTATACACAGAAAACCTAAAAGACTGAGCAAGAAAACTGTTAGAACTAAATTAAAGCTTCAGCAAAGTAGCAAAGAACAAGATCAATAAATAAAAATCAGTAGGGTTTCGTTATATCAACAAAAACAATATGATTTACAATAGCCACACAAAAGATGAAATGCTTAGAGATAAGTAACCAGAGGGGGGGGAGGGACCTGCACAATGGAAAAATGTCCCATGCTCAGCGACAGCAAGAAACATCATTGTGAAATTGTCAATACGACGCAAAACAGTATACACATATAGTGCAATCCTGATGCAGATTCCAGCATCATTCTTTAAAGAGATGGGAAAACTAATGACCAACTTTACATATAAAGGGATAAGCAAGGCATTACTACAGAAGCAGAACAAAGTAGGAAGCCTCTGACTTATTGATCCCCAAACCTATTAAACAAGTAAAAGGAATCATGTACAAGAATAAATACATTGACCAATGTAACAGAATCGAGGACCCAGAAATAAATCCATACACCTGGGGACAGCTGATCTTTAACAAAACTTAAACTCTAAAGATTATACCTTAAAACTCTCAGAAAAATATCATAGGAGTACATCCAGTGTGGAAAATAGTTCAGTGGTCTTCAAAAAGTTAAACATAAAATTACCTTATGACCCAGCAATTCCACTCCTAGACAGATATCCAGGAGATTTGGAAACAGGTACTCAAATACTAATGTTCACTGCCCTATTATTACCAAAAGCCAGAAAGTGGAAACAAAATTACTTTATCATCTCAGTTATACATCATTTAGAGAAGCTGGTGGCACAGTGGTTATGAGTTGGGCTGCTAACCACAATCTTAGCAGTTCGATACCACCAGTTGCTCCTTAGGAGAAAGATGAGGCTCTCTAGTCCCATCAAGAGTTACATGCTTAGAAACCCACAGACTGAACAATGGCAGTAGGTTTGAGTTTTGGGATCTGTAAGTTAAAATGAAAGTAAATATAAAAATAAGATTAAATAGATAGTATTCATAATGAACTATGATAGAATGTATCTGTTTCATTAGAGATTTTCTTATACTCTTTAAACTATTCTTAATATTCAGCAATTTTACTGTTAACTCCTAATTGGTTTCTCTTTCTACTTTTCCACAGTGCTTTCTACAGAAATGCATCAATACTTTAATAATTGCCTAAATTTGGTCACCAGCAAATAACTTACAAGGGTTTCAGAAAACAGAAACCCTTTTTTGTTTGTTAGTTTATACTTTAAAAAGAAAGGTGACAGGTTTAATTTACATTTTAAATTCTTAATAGAATGATTAAGTGATTATAAGATACCTTTATCTCCATTTTAACAACAAGAATAAGGTCATAATGAACAAAACAGGGAATATCATTAGGTGTTGATAGCAAAATCTTAGCACCGAGGAGCTAAGGTATATTCATACTTACTGTGTTCTACCAAGAGGGATACCTCCCCAAGCCAGAAATTGCTTGGTGGATAAAATTGACGGGATATCTGAGCAGGATGATTCAAATGTCAGAGATTTATGTCCTGAAGAAACTACTTCACCTTCTAACACTACTTCATACTGAGGTCCAAATGGCTGCACAAATATTTTCATAACCCTAAAAAGAAAATAATCTCAGTTGCATATTTTATATTCAATTTGTTTAGCAAAACTTTTGGCATGCTTCCTTTGCCCAACAGACTGAGCTAGAAGCTGAGGGTACAAAGCTAGGCCCACCCTTAGAAGCGATATTGTGGAGAAAACAGACAAGGAAAGGGATGATCACAATTCTTACTCAACAGGGGGATACGAGAAGTTCACAGTGCTACAATACTATTTAGAGGACTTTAGGGAAAAATCACAGAAGCTTCACTAATTCAGTGAAGCTGAAGTAAAGTGTTCCAGGCACACGCAATCTCATCCGTGAAGCCCAGATTCTTCTTTTCCTTCACTGGATTCTGACTGCAAACTAAGCATAATAAGGGTTCCATTCCCATCATCCCCAGGACTGGTCAGAAACCATGAAGGCTCCAGAGCAGAGGCTGCTTTGAAGGTAGTTGTATGGCTAATAAACTAATGAAAATACTATTCTGACTAAAAGTGGATATTCATTTAAGATTTGGAGAAGTTATGGGGGAAAAGTACCTTAAATAAACAATTAATAAAGTCAATAGTTACTTTGGAGGGAAAAAAAAAACTAATGAAAATGTCTAAAGTGACATTTTAAATAGTTATTTTTGCTAGAATATGTTTTAAAATACTGATTTCTTCGAGTCAACTAGCTTAGAGGGGGAATTTTAGTAAATAAAAAGACAAAACTCTGAGGGCAATGGAACAGAGGTTAAACAGAGTGATGTAATCTATGAGGTTAAAATAAAATTATGGACTTTATTAAAACTGGATTAAAGCACATTAATATAATGCTGTCTTGAAAACGGAATTGAAACTTGCCATTATAAACAATTTTACATTACCTTTTCTCACAGGCTTTGGATTTTGTTGGAGTAAATGAAACCATGACTTCACGTTCTTCTCCAGGTTTAAGAAACAGAGTTTCTGGGTCCACTGAAAAGTGACTTCCTTGATCTGGGATCTAAATATTTACACAATCATAACAATATTTATGCAAACATAACTTTTATTCAATTATGCTTCATTTTTAGGGTTCTTAAAATTACTGTGAGCTCTCTGACCTATTTGTTTCTATTTCTTGTAAAAGGACATTTTACTCTTGTCTGTGCTTCCCAGCAAACTTTAACTCTCTTCACTTCCAGTTCCTTATCCCTAGTGCACTCTCACTCACCACACATCTCAGAACAGTATCTGCGTATGGAGAACATGCTCTTCAGATTCTCTTCAGAGTGACATACAGTTCTCAAAAGCTGAACTGGAATTTGGTTCTTGTGTTAAAAACATTAAACTTCAAAGTGTAAGTATATTTTACTCTAGTATAACAATTCTGGTTTTTTAACTACATGCACACATTTTTGACACTACTTTCTAACAGGGCGGGTAACACAGCAATCTTCCAAATGTAGTTCTGGAAGAAACAATCTATCATTATCACTTAAATTCTTACCTTGATGTCTAAATAAACTTCAATGTTCCCAGCATTTTTCAAAGGTAATTGCTGCTTCGTTGAAGAAGCCACATCAGCAAACAAATGCATAGTCTAGAAGGTGGAATAAGACAGACCTTTAGGAAAAACTGTCATAATTAAAGTGAAATCATCTGCACATGAAACAATAGCCACAAAAAACTAAAGTTCAGGATACCTGTAGGTCTTTTGGAGCATGTATCCGAGCTATTCCTGTTCTTGCACGCAGACTAACACTGTTAATAGCTGGAACAGAGTTTGGGCTATCAAGTTCTACGTCAACTCTTGCCAGATATTCTTCTGCTGAATCCAGACTTTCTAGAAAAGAACATTCTCTTGGTTCAGAGACCAAAGGCTTATTTTATTCTAAATGACCCGAGGTAAAAAAAAAAAAAAAATAGTGCCTTTAGGGTTAACAACAAACAAAACCTTTCAAGAGGATTTTTAAAAATCATACAAAGAGCAATTGAAATAGATCGAGAGAGACAAGAAAAATGGAAGATCCAAAGAAAAGATCAAATTGAGAAAGAATCCCAAGAGGTTCTACTGGTTTTAGTAACAAGCTACCTGCGTTTCACTGTTAAAAAATGTAAAATACTTGAGAAATTACCCAGAGTATTCATATTGACTAAGGACCCTACAATAGTTTGTACCCAACTAGTAACTTACAGACTGCAGGCTGAGCCCAAGCAGAAGCACCATGGAAGAAACAACCTAGTGATTTGCTTGTGTAAAGATCACACTCATGAAAAATCTATGGCACAATTCTACTATATAATAAGTGGTGTCTCCTAAAACCTAAATCAATTAACAAAAGCATAGTCAGTAATCAAATTATTCACATCTACTGAGAAGAGTAAATAGCCTCAAATTTATAATTTACTTGTAACCATTGGGTAAAACAATTCTCACAAAATGTAAACTTAATACCTGAAGAGCAAATCTGTTTCTTTGGATTATGGAAAAGAACCCAAATTATCAGAAATTCTGGATCCTGTAAGATAAAACAAACATATATATATATATATACTGGCATTGAAATAATCTTAAGAAAGGTTCTTTGAAAATGTAACGTCCTCTATAAATTCCAAGCCAGTTCTATCCTCTCCCCACATACCTGTCCATCATGACTGGGAGGCATTGTATGATTTATCACAGATGGAGTTGCTAGTTGAGCAATCACATCAACATAGGGAACAGTTTTCAGAGAAGCATTAACTGGTTCCTTAGAAAACGCGAAGCAACGCCAAGCGATAGCATTCTGTTCAGAAACAAAATAATCTGCTTCAGAAAAGCTAGTTGTGTAATGTTAAACTACTATTCTAAAGAGCCAGAATAGCTAAGAAAAAAATTCATTCATAGAAAAAATTAACCAAGAAGATCAACAGTGCCTAGAGTTCAAAACTGGTGCACCTTTGAAGCAATTTCTTACTGTATTTTGGTACTTACAGCATTAATAACAAGTCTGATCGGCACAGTGGCATGTGTCCTGTTTATCAACTTCAACGGGAGAGCTTTCCAGGCTCCATAAGTCAAATCTCCGAAGTCAAGAACATCTTTCTTTTCGGTTTCTACCTAATGACCACATTTTAAAAAATATATTAAGAATACATATCATTTCTGCCTTGAATGAAGTGTAACATGAAAGGTAAACTTTTCTAAGTTTCTAAGCAAGGTTATATATATTTTTTGCTACCAAAATACAATTCTTCTGAGGTAGTGTATGCATAGTACAGAACAAATGGGGAATCTTAACTGCTTTATTTTGAATGTACTTTGATCTTAAGCCAAATTGACAACTATACAAAATGTGAATGTCCTTCAATGCTCTATTATTAGAATACTGCTATCTCAATTCCCTTTCAAAACATATCTAGGCATTTTCAGATTTAATTCAAAACTCTAAAAGCACAGAAAATGTTAAGAAAACAATCATATTGATGTGAATGAGGTGGGTTGGAGTGGAGACCCAAAGCCCATCTGTAGACAATTGGAAATCCCCTCACAGAAGGGTCACAAGGAAGGGCTGAGTTAGCCAGGGTGCAGTATAGCACCAACGAAACACACAAAATATTCCTCTAGCTCTTTAATGCTTCCTCCCAACTACGATCATGATCCCAGTTCTACCTCACAAATCTTGCTAGACCAGACCATGTACACTAGTACAGATAAGAGCTCTCGACACATGGAATCCAGGACAGAAAAACCTCTCAGGAACAGATACCATGAGAGTACTGGGAAGGTGGGGGACAAAGGCAGAGAAGAGTGAACCAATCACAAAGATCGATGTTTAACACACCCCACCCCACACCCGAGGGGGACGATGAACAACAGAAACATGGTTGATGGGTGACAAGGGACCGTATGAAAATAATAATTTATAATTTATCAAGGGTTGACGAGGGTGGGAGTGTTGGGGAGGGTGGGAAAAAAGAGCTGATATCAAGCTAAGTTATTAAGCATCCCCACCCCCTACCCCCACCTGGTGACTTTATAAGTTCAAGAGGGGAAAAGTGAATAAGGAAGAGTGTGTGCACTGTGAAAACAATTAATGAATGAGCTCATTAGGCCCACAGGAGGCCTGCCCCTACTATTCCTTCTCCAAATACATCTCACCTCTAGATTGGGAATCACAGATTTTGCTTTGTTCAGTAAAATAAAATTAATTCTAGGACATCAGCAACACATGTTAAGTGTGCTTAAATAAAGTTTTTAGGAATCAACTAGCTTTTAATTATCTTCAAGAAGTATTTTCCTGTGCTTTGTGCCTTCCCATATCTCCCACCCAGATTCCTTAATCTTGGTCAATATACTATTTTCATTTTACTCACTATAAAGTTGTTTCTTTTTTTTTTTTCAAACATTTTATTAGGGGCTCATACAACTGTTAACGCAATCCATACACACATCAATTGTGTAAAGCGCATTTGTACATCATTCTCAAAACATTTTCTCTCCACTTAAACCCCCACATTAGGTCCTCATTTTTCCCTCCCTCCCCGCTCCCCCCATAAAGTTGCTTCTTATGAAACAGTGTTTCCTCACTAAGGCTGCAATCTATAACTCTCTGGAGAGATTGAATCTGTCTGACAGGTCCTAACTCTCATGGTGAATGAATTGATCTGCAAAGGGCTCAGGTCCTAAGGTGCCTCTAAAAGCTCCCAGTGTTATTCCACCAGCTGTTCCAAGGAAACAACATGAGCCCATCTGTTTCCACAGAGATTTACAACCTCAGATACCTTATGATGCAGTTCTACTCTGTCCGATAGGGACCCTACGAACCAACTATGGCAATTGAGTTTGGTTTATTGGGGATTTTTTTAGTGTTATTCCATTGGCAGCAAGGGTTGAGAATCATTTGTTCTGCAGTGGTTCTCAACCTTCCTAATGCCACGACCCTTTAATACAGTTCCTCATGTGGTGATCCCTCAACCATAAAATTATTTTCGTTGCTACTTCATAACTGTCATTTTGCTACTGTTATGAATTGGGTGACCCTGTGAAAATGTCGTTCGACCCCAAAGGGGTCGGGAACCACAGGTTGAGAACCACTGTTCTAAAGGAACATACTGATTTTTTTTTTTTCTTTTAAAAAAATCATTTTATTTGGGGCTCATACAACTGTTATCCCAATCCATACACACATCAATTGTGTAAAGCGCATTTGTACATCGTTTCTCAAAACATTTTCTCTCCATTTAAACCCCCGACATTAGGTCCTCAACATACTGATTTTTAATGTTTTCCAAATAGCTAGACCTAATCCTTTCCACTTTCAGAAAATGGGTAAGTGTAGGAGACAAACGTTTCAGCTAGCAAATACTCTTCAGTATAAACCACTGGCACTTTCCTACTAAGTGCTTATCAAAACATATCATGGAAGTCAGGTGAAACTAGAGTCTAATGTTATACTTTGCTTTAAAACTGTCTCAGAAATTTTATTTCTGTTGCTATAAAACAACAGAAATAACTTTAAATCTTGGATGTAAATATATTAAAAACCCAGTGTCTAACCATACGTTTATTTTCCCCAAATATTGTGTCTAAGGTTAAACAGCCTTCATTAAAAGGTCAGGCATCCCAATGACTCAGTTACAAACACTTACCTCTATGACAGGGATCTCAGCAAGAGCAGTAAGAATGACTCTGTGGGCCAGGGCTTCAGCCTGTATTATTGTCTCAGCATCTGCGAGAAATGGCCAAGACGCAACACTGAACACACATCTGAAAATCCCAGGATTGGATGGTGTAAAAAGTACTTTTATCTCTTCTGTAGTATGTGGTCTTATGATGACTTTATTCTTGAAAACTAAGCAAGGATACGTAGAAAGATCCACCTTTTAAAAAGAGACACACAGTTCATTAGCAAATGGCTTTACATAGAAAAGAAATAAGCAACATCAACTAACTTCCTTTGTATAGTCAATCAAATGATAAAATTTAAACATTTTATTACTTTGACAAATATTCAATTTTATAACGTATTATTTTTAAAGTACAATTGGTCAACATGCTTCGCAAGTAGAACTACCCTCAGTTAAGACTATCCCTAGCCTATCTATCCCCTTGCCTTGTAAAAGCACTAAAAATGGTAGTACTTCACAGCCCTGTATGTTTTCTTTTATCCATTTTGATACCAAAAAAAAACGACCCACCATGTTATGCAATCTACGAAATAGCTGGGTGACTTGGAGTAAATTATTTTAATCTCTCTAGGACACAGTTTCTGTTGCTATAAAATGCATGAGAGGTTAGACTACTCTCTAAGGTCCTCATGAAACCTCAAATTCTATGATTGTGACCAAGTCCAATTAGTACTCTCTGACCATAGGTGAGGATCTCCTTTTCCACTGCCCACTTCTATAGACAAAAATAAACACTTACTAGATGCCCCTAAAAAATCCTCAAATCTCCTCTCCATCCTTAGCCCTTGCACCTAATTACCTGCTTCTCATTTAACATCAGGATCTGAAAGCTTTGGGAAGAGGCTAAGAAATGTAGAGAGGTGAAGAGAAACCATATTTTATCAGCTAAATAAGTGCTACTATAAAGAAGGCAGTGTAAATCCATCTACCAATGTTGATTTGCAAATACCAGTAGCAAACTTAGCATTCAAAATACTAGCTGCTGATCATATTACCATCTTTCTCTACTCATTGACTTTTGAAACTTCACTGTAATTAGGAAACGAATAGTACTTAAGTTCAGGATTTTTGCCAACTATAACTGATCATGTGAGAATTCACATGAAAACAATTTTCAAATTATTTCAAAAGGGAATATAAGAAAATTGAATACATTAGTCACAGCAATTCCTCTTATAAAAGTGTAAGTCTCAGGGAAAAAAAGTGTAAGTCTCGAGAGTAAGATTTTTTTGTTGTTGTTGTTAAATAGCAGTAACATACTCAATCACATAGAGCAAAACTCAGAGGTTCGAGTGATTTAAGTAGCACTAAAAGCAAAACTGGGACAAAGACAGGGCTTCTAATCCCTTAAAAATTTAGTCTTGGCATGACATCCCTCACTGACCCACAGCCCTAGAGGGGACAACACCTGAGACTACAGTGTGGGAATTGCGCCCAATCTGATCCCGCCACACTGAGGCAAAACACTAAGGGGGTGCAACAGAACAGCAAGGGAACAGAGCGGCGAGGTCCCCAGGGAATGCTGAAGGAGAACTTTGGGGCCAGGGCGGGGTGCCCCAACAGACTGGACTGGAAAACACTCCTAAAGGCCAACAAACAGTCCTTGAATTAACTACAAGTGTTTCTTGTTGTGTTTTGTTTGTTGTCATTGGTTTGTTGTTGTTTTGTTGTATGTTGTTTGGTTTTGCTCTGTCTTGTTTTTATGCATGTTATTATCTCCACAGTTCTGTCTAAATGAGATAGGCTGGATGAACAATCTGGAGGAGAAAACAACGGGATCGACAGTTCTGGGGGGTAATGGGAGAGGGAGAGGTAGGGGAAAAGGTAGTGGTGTTAACAAACCCAAGGACAAGGAAATAACAAGTGACCCAAATCGGTGGTGAGAAGCGTGTAGGAGGCCTGGTAGGGCGTGATCAAGGGTAATGTAACCAAGAGGAATACTGAAACCCAAATGAAGACTGAGCATGATAGTGGGACAAGAAGAAAGTCAAAGGAAATAGAGGAAAGAGCTAGGAGTCAAAGGGCATTTATAGAGATCTAAATAAAGGCATGTACATATGCAAATATATTTATATATGAGGATGGGAAAATAGATCTATGTGCATATATTTATAGGTTTAGTATTAAGGCAGCAGAAGGACATTGGGCCTCCACTCAAGTATTCCCTCAATGCAAGAATACTTTCTTCTATTAAATTGGCATTCTATGATGCTCACCTTCCCGACACAACCGCTGAAGACAAAGCAGGTTGAATAAGCAAATGTAGTGAAGAAAGCTGATGGTGCCCGGCTATCAAAAGATATAGCATCTGGGGTCTTAAAGGCTTGAAGGTAAACAAGCGGCCATCTAGCTCAGAAGCAACAAAGTCCACATGGAAGAAGCACACAAGCCTGTGCCATCACAAGGTGTCGAAGGGATCAGGAGCAGGCATCATCAGAACAAAAAATCACATCATAATGAATAAGGGGGAGAGCATGGAATGGAGACCCAAAGCCCATTTGTAGGCCACTGGACATCCTTTACAGAAGGGTTTCGGAAGGGGGAACCGATTACAAGGATCTACATGTGACCTCCTCCCTGGGGGACGGACAACAGAAAAGCGGGTCAAGTGAGACGTCAGACAGGGCAAGATACGACAAAATAATAATTTGTAAATTATCAAGGGTTCATGAGGGAGGGGGAGCAAGGAAGGAAGGGAAAAAATGAGGAGCTGATGCCAGAGGATTAGGTGGAGAGCAAATGTTTTGAGAATGATGAGGGCAATGAATGTACAAATGTGCTTTACACAACTGATGTATGTATGGATTGTGATAAGAGTTGTATGAGCTCCTAAAACTATTTTAAAAAATGATAAAATAACTAGCAATGGTCTCTTAAAAAAATTTTTTTTTTACACTCTTGGAAACCCACAGGAACAGTTCTACCCAGTTTGTTAGAGTTACTGTGAGTTGGAACAGACTTGATGGCCATGAGGTAAAAGAAAACAGGTATATTTTTATAAGTAAGTAGCAAAGAAATATAGTATCATGATAATAAGGAAGAAAAATGAGATGCATTTATATATTTCACTTCTTACACTGAAAGCATTGCAACAAAAGGGGGACCAAGAAAAAGTTGGTATTGCAAATACTGTGTGCAGAATTCAAAAAGACAAAAATCAAGTGTTGGAAAAAATTATCTATTATGAAATTAAGTAATTGTTAAGACAGGTGGCAAAGATACCAAAAGCTTACCTTCTCACCATTAACACTGATGCTGAGCACCCCAATGCTGACCTGTAACCAGTGGTCAGCTGGATTCAAGATGCTGAGGTGGGTTTGGGAAACAATACCAACACAGCAAGCATGAGGAAACCTCAACTCCTCTGGTACTCTTACATTCCCTGTGTAGGAATCAAACATACCAAAAATGCAAATAATATGATGCACTTGATGGAAAGCATAATTCGTTACATGGAAATTATTACAGAAGACCACCGACTTAAACTCAGGAGTCCTTGGATGGTATAAGTGACTACTACATTCAGCTGCTAATTAAAAAGTTGGTTAAAGGTCAAGTCCACCTTGAGAGACTTTAGAGGGCCTAGCAATCTACATCCAAATAATCCAGGCACTGGATATCCTATATAAAATCAATTTCTAGTCCGACACACACACTTAGTCACTATGAGTTGTAAATTCAAAGCTGTTTGGTTTTATTAGTAAAAGTGCCCCACAATGGGGTCTGGGACTGTGTATGAGAGAAAATAAAAAGTTATCGCTACTAGGGCTCCAATTCATACATGCAGAGGTTAATCCCAAACAAAATGTGTTTAAACCTGTTCTTGTAATCTGTAAGTAGCTGCAGATAAGTTCTCTCAGTAATACCCTTGTCTCAGTCTCATTAGGATGCACTTACCAAAAAGGTTCAATCAAAACAGAGGCTTCCGAGGGATCTGCTGTGACAGTTAAATTCAAAGCAGAGAGGTCAACTTAGAAAGTTAAGGTAACTGTTTTAGGGGATATACAAAAATAGGAGTAGTTCTGATATATTGTCTCAAAGGTTAAAGGATAATCGCAAAGGCTTATTAAAAAATTTTTTTAAGAAAATGCAAAATTGTGTTGCTGAATAAAAGAACAGGAAAGTGGTATCAAGCAATTTTTTTACCCATTACGCCAATGCGCCTGCTCATTCTTCAAAGTATCAAGGGCTGTCCTGCAAGAATTTTGTTGAGAAACCTTATCCCATCCACCCTCCGCAGCCTGACCTTGCCTCTTTAGATTTCTTTTTGTTCCCCAAACACAAAGAGCACTGAAAAGGAACACCATTGGAGTCCCTGGAGAATGCCAAATCTGTCATTTTGACGTGGTATAAATCAAAGCATGAAGAATTCTTTGGGACAAGGTTAAAGAGATGGAAACACCACCTCCAGCACTGCATAGACCTAGATGAAGGACATGTTAAGAAATGATAGCTTCACATTTTTATATTTTTTGTTAATAAAAGACTCAAGGCTATTATAGCAATACTTTTTGACTTATCCCAATTCTCCCTTTCTTCCTATAGGACTTCAAGACATATGTACTGCCAGTGGCCTGTGTATCATATTGGAAAAAGGAGAGTATTCATTCTGGTTTAGCCAAGTAAAGTTCGGTTATCAAAAAGAAGGATGGAAAAGTTTTCTGTCACACAAGTTACTCTGTCTTGTCCTACAGCCGCCATAACAAAAATACTGCAGTAAGTGGGTGGTTTTAAAGGATAGGAATTTATTATCTTGCAAATCTGGAGGCTTCTAGTTCAAATTTAGTAGGACCAGACAATTTATCTGTTTTCTGAGCTGCGGGAAAAGATCTTTGTCTCGTCATCTTTTTATAGACACTAACCAAAAGGGATTAAGTTCATGGCACTCCCACCTCTGGTACGACATCACTAATGTAACAAAAACAAAAAATCTTATTTGCAAAAAGGGTCATACTTACGGTACATAAGTTTCTAAGAACATAATTTAATTCATAACACTCTTGTAAAGACTTAAAAAGTGAAAGTTAATTAACTCAGTCATGAATCCAACTCTAAATTGGGTATCCCTTAATTAAAAGAATCACAGAAACCCAAGTGCAAGGCAAGAGAGAGAACGAAGATAAAGATATAGGTAGTCTTATAACTTCATAAAACTGACATGGAAGTATACGTGGCCTACATTCTCACTTAAGATAAACAAAAAATCTGACATTATCCTCAGACAAATTAATTTTATGGTCTGATCTGAGAAAACTCATTTTTAAAATAATAGCAACAGTGAGCAAATAGAGAAAAGCACCTTACCATATTCTAACATCCGTCCTGAATCCCAAGGCCCAATTCCACAGTTTGTACCCAGAGATTGCACAGGAGGTTTTGTAGTACTTAAAAGATTTTGATTGAAGGCTTGTGAATATGAATTACAAAGAGAAGTCGAACCCATCAATCCAGAGCTGAAATTCTGTCCTAAACAAATTCCTATGGCCACTGAGTTCTGAGCATGTGCTTCCGATAGCACATGGTGAGGACAGCCTCCTAAGAAACCACAGACTGTGGCACCACCGACATGGCACGGAGGCAAAGCAACATTTCCAGCTGAAGGCACTGCCCTCAAACATGGCCGGGCAAAAGGGACTGCTGTCACTGAATGTCCAGGCAAGAGTGTAGGTATGGCAGTAGGTAGATGCTGCATCTCAGGAGCAGAGTCATGGCCCTCAAAGTTGGGCACCGGCGCACACTGGTTACAAGGAGCTGTTTGGTCAGGAATCTGGTTACTTATTTCATGGTTGGCAGTTAACGTTTTTTTGGACATCATTTTTTGACCCTCGTTAACGGTTTCTGGATATATCATCGCAAGGTTGGCATTAGTTGATATAACCTGATGGCTGAGACATACACTGCTGGGTAAAGCCATGTTGATCTGGTCCAACTCATGAGGGCTTGATGACAAGTCTATTGGACTGGCTTGAGAAAGCTCTTCACTTTTGAAACCAGGATCTTTATGCATTCTAAAGCTAAGTTTTGCATCTTCGGCTTTGCTACTCAGGAGAGTAGTTTCAGTCACTTTTTTCTTATCCAAGTTGTCCTGAAAAACATAAGATAACGTTCTTTTTTCTTTACCTTGAAATTGAACTTTTTCTTTTGACCATTCCTTAGTGTGTTCATCCTCCAATGGTGCTGGACTGGCACAAATTGTGGTACTCAATTCACTGGTGATGTCACTCTGAGTGGG